GATTTCTGTTTCCTTTTACTTTCCTTGTCACCCAACAGATATGACAAACACATAAGAATAACATAACTATCCAAGGCTTCTTGCAAGAAAGAGAACTTTTAACAATCTAGTGAAATGTTGCATACACACTGTATGCAGTTTACTTGGTTTCACTTGAATCTTATCATCTGAAACTGCACAACCTGTCATTACATCCTAACTGTACTCTATGGCTTCTACCCAAATAACTTTTACACAAATCCACGCAAAATTAAATAATTAACTAATTCGGACCAGGATTTGTGTAAAGAAACAAACAACTCTTTTTCTAATTCATTACAAAAAATCATAGTTGTATGGCAGCTGGTACACATGAACAAACAAAACAATTCTTTTAAAAAATATAAGAACTTTCACTTAAAGGATAGAATTTTGTCACTCAGGGTACAAAAAAGTCGTTTTTATAGCTTGCCATTCGGGCAAGCTGAAGCTAGCATTTACTAGCCCAGACATCATTTCAACTAGCCCGAAAAACTTTTTGACTAGCAGAATTGATTTCACAGTTCTTCTGTTATTGGAATTCCTCACAAAACATCACTTGCCCGTTGGGCAAGTTAAAAACAGAATTCACTAGCCCGGTAGCAAAATCCACTAGCCCCAGGCTATCGGACACTACTTCCTTTGCACGCTGGTCACTTACAGTACACACTAAATTACAGTACAACTGAAGGAAAGAATTAACATCCAATAGAGCAGTGTAACTCTATGCAAAAGCAGGCAGAGGCAGACCTACATCTTGAGGCCCAAACATCCAGAGCTTAACCTAATTTCAGTAGCATGAAGCATTTACAATGTAGGAGTACTGCTAAACTCTCTGGATGGGATACTAGCTCATCACAGGGACACCCTTGTTGGCATTCAACTTAATAAATTTATTTATGAGCCAAGATACAAGAGAACTCTGTGACAGATCAGTTAGTGACAAAAGGGTGAAAACTGGTAAGATGTCACAACAAAACACCACTCTTGAAAACCTGTTTTTCCAGTTAGGCTTTTCCAGAAGGTTCTAGAAACATCTGTACAATGGAACCTCGATTTAACAATGGGCCAAGCAACTAGCAAAATGAGTTTGCTGTATCGACGAGGTTTGTTATATCAAGGTTCTTATTCATATCTTTTTACAGTGTACGACTGGGCTAAAGAAAATTGTTTGTTATACTGAAGACTTCATTATACAGAGGTTCATTATATCGAGGTTCCACTGCAATACTGATTGTCTCTCTTGAATAAACAAACATAATTTCACAGTAAAATGAAAAATTTGTCAGTCTTGCTTATTTCCTCAAGCAGCATTGTTACTCAAATTTCAAAGTGCTGGGTATACAAGTTTATATGTACAATTAGTAGGCGGGAAAATGAACAGCAACAAATTTCTGTGAAAAGGTTTGAACCCAGTAGGGTTGAAAAGTAGGTTGAGTTTGATCATAGGGGTGAACGTAGTCTTGAATAGAACTGTTGTTGTTGACAGTGACTGACGTTTCTACAACCTTAGTGGTAGTCATCTTCAGAGTCAAAGTGAGTTGTAACACATCAGTTGATGGTATTATACTCCGGTTATTGACCTGATTGGTCAATAACGTGGCGATGCTATCAGTTGTCTGTCAGTTAAGCCATGATGTTATTGGCTATGAAGACTCATCAGTCTATTCCAGGGCTCAAAAAAGTCCCATCCGGTAGTCCCGGACAAGTGGATTTTCTTGGCGGCCAAGTACAGTAACTTTTAAGGCTCACTCGCCCAATAAGGGTCAAGACAACTCATCCTCCAAAAAAATCACTAACTAAGACAAGCAAGAGGTCGCCCTAAGCAAGAAAAATATGAGAGCTGATTGCCCTAAGGACAAGCTGGAATTCAAGATTTTCTTCAAGCACTGTATAGGCTCTATATTCCATTTGTTTCCTATGAAAGACAATGGGGGTCATGCTCATAATATAGCCAAGGGAAATCCACTGCCTCAGGTTGTTATTGACAGCAATTCAATTCAATTCAATTCAATTCAATTCTTTATTCACACTATACAAGATATTTACATAAGTGTACATAGTAGGAAAATAAAGTAGCTACAAATAAAAATTAACTAAAAGATATAAAGTTCATTTGTGTACTGTGTCCAAAGTAGCAAGAGCTTTCTTGTTGGACACCGTCATATTGAAATAATTGGCAGCAGTAAAGAGTGGAATAAAATCTCAAATAATATCAGTGATAGAACATATACTCAGGTCAGATTTGGTTGGTTAGAAGACAGGACTTCCATTCTTTTTTAAACTTATGATATGGCAGACACTTGAGACCAGGCGGTACAGTCTCCCAGATTTTTGGAGCGGAGAATTTAAAGGACGTCTTACCTAAGTTGGTGGATACTCTTGGCCTAAAATAGTTCAGATTACTGACAAATCTTGTATTATGATTGTGTATACGCGATGCTGGAGTCAGGACATCAAGGAAAATATCTGGAATGCTATCGGTCTCGTTCCTCATTCTATGTATAAAGCAACATATTTTTAATTTATATATATTATCTAATTTAAGGATTGTTAGGAGTTTGAAATAGGGAGCAGCACTCTCTCTAGGATGTACAAAGAAGATGGTGTGGAGACATTTATTATGTTTAATACGAAGACAATCTAATCTGGTTTTGCTGGCACAGCCCCTAGCAAGAATACCGTAACTCAAATAGGGATATATTAAAGCATAATAAATTTGTTTCAGTATATTCAGATCTATGTAATATCATAGTTTTGAAAGGATTCCTAAATTTTTAGCTAATTTATTATTTACATGTTGTATCCGTGGTTGCCAATTGAGATGTTTATCTATATAAACTCGCAAGTACTTTATGTAATCTTTCTGTTCAATACCAGTGATATTTATCTTTGGGTGGCACCTAGATGATGAGACAAACATGTAATTGGTCTTTGCAGTGTTAATAGATAACTTATTTAAAGCACAGTAGTTATAAATTTGTTTAGGCTCTTGATTCATTACGGATTCAAGCTGTTTTAAGTTGTCCCTAGAGTAAAATAAATTGGTGTCATCAGCAAAGCTCCGCACCAAAAGTTTGTCGACACAGTTTGGTAAGTCGTTCACATAGAGCAAAAATAAAAGAGGACCTAGAGTCGAGCCTTGGGGTATACCGCAGGTAATATTTTCATAGCTAGATTTAGTAGAGTCAATTTTAACATATTGTCTTCGATTGTGCAAATAACTTCCAAACCAATTATGTGGTGTACCCCGAATTCCATACAGATATAGTTTAGAGAGCAGTATTTCATGATTTACTGTGTCAAATGCCTTTGATAGGTCGAGAAATAAACCACATGTTATTTGACCTTTGTCAGTAGCTAGCTTCAGATTGTCAGTAATTTCAAGAATAGCTTGTTCAGTGGAATATCCTTTCCTAAATCCAAACTGATATTTGTACAAGATTTGATGTTTATCTATGAATGAATATAACTAGACGCTCGAGCACTTTACTAAAAGGTGAGAGAGTTGCTATGGGCCGATAGTTGCTAGGGTCTGTAGCATCACCACCCTTATACACTGGGGAAACTTGTGAGACTTTTAAAATATCAGGAACAATTCCAGTTTCAATAGACTGGTTATAGATATATGTTAAAGGTATTGACAATGGCTGGGCAGCTATTTTAATTAATTTATTAGGAATATCTAAGGATGACTTATGATCATTTAAACCTTTAAGTAGTGAACATACTTGGGTTTCAGTAACACAGGACATAACGAAGCTATCTACTGGAGTCGATCTTATGAATTGGATCGGACTTCCATCACAATTTTCAATTCTTTTGGCCAGGTTTTGACCCACATTGACAAAATGCTTATTAAATTGATCGGCAATCTCAGCCTTATTAGTGTAAGCTCTATTATTACGTTTAATTTTTGAGATGGGGGTTTGTCCCTTTGAGTTGCGCTTAACTAGCATACCAATCAATTTCCAAGATGCCTTCAGGTTGTTTTTACATAGGTCAAAGTGTTGTGAAAAGTAGTTCTTTTTGCAAATGTTCTTAAGCCAATTCAGTTTGTTAGCAGACTTTTTATATTCTGTCACCTTAATTGGATTGTTAGTAAGAAAGTGTGTTTTGTATAATTTATGCTTAGTTTTGATTGATTTAAGAATACCATTAGTTATCCACGGCTTAGCACATAATTTCTGTTTCTTTTGGGACAATTGCCTAATTGGTGCATGTTTATCTGCAATTGATTTTATCAGGTCAGTTATTTTAGTAGCTGTCTCATGCAGATCATTATTATAGATAGCATTCCAGTTGATTGCATCGATATCCTGTAAGTAAGATTCTTGATCAAAATTTCTGTAATCTCGATAATACTTAACAGGGTTGTGTTTCTTAACTGGTATATTTGTAACACAGACAACTGGAAGGTGATCAGAGATATCCACCATTACAATCCCAGAGACAATTTTGGATGTACTGTTGGTATAGATATGATCAATTAATGTAGCTGAATGATAGGTCAGACGTGTTGGTTTAGTAATAATTGGTAATAAATTATTGGAATACAGCATGTCAAGTGTGTCTTTCTCAACAACCTTCACACAGCATGCCTCAGGTACCCATTTATACACCTGGGTGAAGAGACAAAGTGGAGTAACATTTCTTGTCTAAGGAAACAACATGACGGCAAGGCTTAAAATCGGACATACATTGTACAGCGTTGAGAGAAAATTGGCTTCTTTACTTTCAGATCCTGCCCTAGACTTTTCTCCACTTTTTCCTTCCTTTTTCTTGCTTTTCCCAGATGACAATGAGCTTGCTGACTTGCTCTTTGCTTTCAGTTTTAAAGAAATGTTTCGCCTAACTGGCTGTGAGGTGGATCCTGGAGTTGCTCCCTCATGCTCCAATTCAAGATCTACCAAAACAACATAGAAAACTAAAAGGTTAGTCTCACCTTGGTATGATGTATAGCTAGATTTAAGATACATCATAAATGATAACAAGATATGCTGAGCAAAAAATTAACAAAGTAAATGGAGCCAGATCATTTTAAAAGACCAATGCCAAAGTACAATATTAGTACAAATTAAACATAGGTAAACCTATAATATAATCATAACCTATAATTATAAGAAAACAAAAACAGCCGCCACAAGTAAACTGGTCGGCGTCAAGAAGTGTGAAAGTGTAAAGTGTGAAGTGTGCACAAGGAGTGGCTTATAAAGGGTACCATGATCCAAATGGAAACTGACCTAAACATTGTAATCAACAACTAAAAGAAATACATTTCATACAGTTAGAAATTTGAGAAAATTCGTGGACCAAAAATGACATTTACAAAGGAAAATGGTACAGTTTTCACGGTCATTATATGAGAGCAATGGCAGAAATTCTCCTAGTACTTGAACCCAAGTATAAATTGAAGTAACCCTGAAAGACATGTAATATTAGTGAGATTAGTTGAAATCAGGAGAACAAGTCATCGACATGTTGCCACAAACCAGACTATAATCAATTACGAAAAAGCTGAAAATCAACACCGCGTAGAGTTGCAAACGTTTCATTTTCGTGAAATGAATATGAACAAAGACTTAATAACATAAAGAAAACATTTTTCTTTAACTGAATAGCGACAAATTAAGGATAAATTTAAGCAATAAGCCAGTGGGAAAGCATGCTTACCGTCCTCCATCTTGAATTTTCCTGTTCTTTAGCTTATGACCGCTGTACAGCTTGTAGGCTTTTGTACATTATGCTAGCATTTTTACGAGCATTTTAGTGAGGCTAAAGCATTGAGCATTATTCGAGCATTTTAGTGGCATTTTCCCCGGAAAATTAATTTTTTCCGAGAAAATAAAATAAAAAATTAACTTTTTCAGGAGCCCATGCCCCACGAGCTCCTGCGTTTTTAAAGAAAATGAAGACAGACTAAACCTCAAAATTCACAAAAAGCCTAATACAGCTGTTTTTTTGGCTGTATTTATGAACTTGTACACGTTGTCGTTGTTACTTGCAACACTTGCACGTTTTTGTAAGTGTAAACTTTGAAATTAATTTTAAAAAACCGTTTGTATAAGGAGCATTATCCGAGCATTTTAGTGACTTTTTTGGGGAGACCGAGCATTTTAGTGGGAAAAATGGAGCATGAAGGTGGAGCATTTTAGTGGGGAAGCAAAAGCATAATGTACAAAAGCCTAACAGCTTGTCTCTTGATCGAGCCTTCGAAACTGTTCCCCAGGCCTACTCTAGGATGAAAATAATTATTTCCCCTTTTCCAAAATCTTGGATTTTGACACCTATAACCCCATTCAAGTATACATTGTACTCACGTATCTGTCTTCTCATTGGCTAAGAGCCTACAGCTAATTTTGGAAATCAGCGCAACCTAGTCTACAGAACTTACAGATTAGTTAGTTATCTGCTAGCGGATACCTGACTAATCTGTAGACTGCGCGTGCAATGCGTGATTTCCAATAACAATATCAATTCAGGTTCCTTAGCTTGAGACGACGGTGTTTGTCTTTTTAGAAATACGCATCACTTCTCATTTATCAGTGTTAAATCTCAATTGCCCCAATATTCCAAACGAGTAAGATCTTTCTGCCGAGTTCTTCCACATCTTGCTTAGTGTCCCTCAGTACCCAAGACACCTTCATATCATCTTCAAAGAGCCTTGTGCAAGACGTAATTCCTTGAGATATCCAAAATCTGGGTTTGTTTTTCTTTTGATCAAAAGCATTTTCTCAGTTAACGGCAGCAGAATTCCTGATTTTTTTTAGCTAAATTAGGGATTCCAAAGCCCAGGATTCCGGATTCCAAACTCAAAAATTTCCCTGATTCCGGATGATTATAAACTGCGAGCAGTCTCTCTTTTTCTTCGGATTTAGTGAGGGGAGTGCACGCGCGCGAAAGACGGACGGAAAGAGGCGAGGAACGTGCTCTCCTGTCTCGCGCCTTCATTTATGCTCATATTCATTTGCTTGTCTCGGGCGTTTTACTCGACGGACTATTAAGAAAAAAGAGAGAGTGCTCGTATTTTAGGATGATTACCATACATGGGGTGCCTAATTCATAAAGTGGTGACTCACGGAGAGAAGAAACAGAAGGGATCGGCATGAAGAAGGGAAAGGAGACTCACACTCTCCTTAGCCTGCGTAGCTGGCGATTTGGCGGCACATGCTGTACTTTTTTGGCGGCGGAGCCACGTGAAGATTGGGAGCAAGCCAAGGAGGGATTTTCACCTTTCACTCGTTTCGAATGGCAGGTCCGCTGCCAGGAAAGTATCCCAGGCACCATAATCCCGCCAGCTACGCAGGCTACACTCTCCTTCACGCCACTCCATGACTTTGAAACGCCTGGGACAGCTAATGAGCTAATGAGATGCAACTGTGAGCATCATCGCACGCTAGGGTGATCAAGTGTGACTCATTTTCATCAGCGACCACAGCTTGGTATAAAACAGTCAAGGACACTGTACACCCATGGAAGAAACAGAGCTTTACTTTGCTTTTGGGTCAAATCTGAGCGCAAGAAAAATGCGGGAACGCGGCACTAGGTTCATCTCTCGCGAAAGCGCAGTGTTTGGAGGATTTCGCGTCGTATTCAGCATATGGAAAGACGATGGCTTTGGTTATGTTCTTATTATCCCAGATAAGGAGTCAACCGTGTATGGTACCTTATACATCTGCTTGAAAGAAAGTTTAGCCAAGTTAGATGAACTCTAAGCAGGGAGGCTTCGGAGAGTGATCGTACAGGTGGAGAGAAAAAGCGGCGAAATCGTGGATGCGACGGCCTATCAAGTGTATGAAGAGTATGTTAAAGAGGGGCTAAAACCAAGCCAAATTTATCTCAATGAAATACTTGAAGGAGAGGAGCTTATTCCTAAAGAATATGCTGACTACTTTAAAAACTTCTTGTGTGACGAAACTGAGAAGTAAAGACTGACGAAACGTTTTTAACTCAGTCAACAGTTATAGAAAACTCAAGAGAGCTTCAAGCTTTGAAGTTTATCCGTATAATGGATTGACTTATGAATGTATTTAAATTGCAAGATTTTATTCCGGTGTATGTTTTGAGCGGTGAGCTGCTCGGGGTTAGTTGGTCAGTTAGGGAAGGACCATTAGAAAAGTGATGGGGAAGGGGGTGTTGGGGGGTCTTTAGGCAACCAAGAATGTTTTTCTTGCAATTGCCTGTGCAAGAATGTTTTTTTGAGTGCAACCCTTTGTAGGACCCCGTTGGCCATTAAATTAATAGGCCATTTGCACTAAGAGATCATGTGACGTCGTTTTTATAAAAAAATGAAAGTTATATGATTTTGCCTTCGAAAAACGATTAGTGGGTCATATCTTAAACAAAATAACAGTGAGTTGGTTTTTCAAACCCGCACCATTTTCTTAAAATGGGTAAGTTCGTAGCTGGTCACGTGACCAAAATGTGCTTTTTAAACTTATGAATTACCTCTTTCTGAACACAAATTTTGCACTTAAACTTCAAGGAAAATGTTGAAAAGATGATGTGGTAACGTTTACAGCACATGTGAGCGTAGCTATCAAACTTTTGACAAGATATAAGCAAAAAGTAGTTTTGGCCGCCATGTTGGAGGGCAAGAGTATGCCCTCCAACATGGCAGCCAGTGCAAAGCAAACTACTTTGTTAAAAAATCAAAGTGGCATAAAATATCTCCCTTAAATGTGTTTCCTCTCAAATTTCGGCTGTAAGATAATTTTTATGTGCTCTGTCAGTTTTTGGCATCAGAAAGATTCCAACTCATTGTTTAAAGGAAGCATTGGTCACGTGACCTCTTAGTGGAAGTGGCCTATTGAGACGTGACTTTTACGAGGATGCCAATATAGCGAGCCAGGACTCGAACCAGGACTCCAGTTAAGACTTTTCTATTTTTTTCTGTAAGCATAAAAATATATATATAAAAATAATACATAAACAAATAAAACCAAACCTAACCTTAACCTAACCCTAACCTAACCTCAACCCTTACTTTCCATGATTGCCACGAAAACCCTCCTCTTAATGGTCATGTGACTTGCAAGAGGTGAAAATGGCGGGAAAGCGAAAAATTGGTCGAGTCCTGCGTCGAGTCCGTGCTCGAGTTCTGGCTTTGATGTTAGTTTACCCGTACAAAACGGCATTGTAGTTGCAAAGTAACGGCAAAGAAATGTACAAAAACGTGTGCTGCACGTAGAAAACGGCATCAGGGAGCTTTAGCATCGACGACGGCAACGGCAGCGAAAACGTCAGTTTTAAAAGAATTCCCGTTTTTTCTATCTTTGTCGCGTTTATTCCAATTTGCTGAAAATGGCAAGTGTAGGCGAATTTCCCTGGAGTTGATTTCTTGAGGACCGCACTCAAGTTTAGAGAGAGAAAAAGGGATTCGTCATCGTTTGCTTACGTCCTCCATAAAACTTGCAATTAGGCATTTTCACGTCGTAGTCGTGCAAGGACGGTAAAGCTCCCTATTGCAGTCGTGCAAAGCAACGCAAAGAAATGTACAAAAATGTGTGCTGCACGTGCAACTTTTTTTTTGTTTGCTAATTAGATCTATTGATTTTGTTGCCGTTCTGCCATAAGAAGTGATCCTAAACACCGGTACAGGAAAAATTCTTTCCTTGATTCAAAAATACCGAGCAACAGTCTTTTAAACTTGTCACGTGTTCAAATTTCAGTACTGGAATATTAAATTGGGTTGGATTTATGGATCTGAAGTAAAACCTTGGATCCGGAGTAATAACTTTGGATCCCCAGCAAGAACTTTGGATCTCAGGAATAAAAACGTTGAATCCAATTGAAAAAACTGAGGAGTCGGGGAAAGAGGGATCCATGTTAGTTGTATAAAAACTTTGGATCCAAAATATAAAGTTTACTTTGCTTAGAATGTTATTTCAGAATAATTCAAACCCATACTGAAGTAACTCCTGATTAGCTCGTCTTTCTCCTCTAGCTATTTCATGACGCAAATCACCACCGATATAAGGCG